CACCCTGCTCTTTTATTTCCTGTATATGATAAAACAAAGATATTTATGTTTCTAATGGATTTCAATATAAAATATCCACATCATATGGAGCAAGACTGACCACAATGATCTTAATTAATGAAGTAGTTTAATTCACCTATTTCAAAAAGATCTTTAAAATTTTTCAAAGGGAACTTTTAAAAATAATTTTGAGCAATAATAATTACAACTTGGATTGCACTAAAATACAGTTTTTGTCACTTATGAATGATGTCCCTTCACAAAACATTCAGATTAGAAATTCAGATTAAACCAGATTTGGATAGATAGATAGATAGATGGTTTACAGGCCTTACACCACTACAAATTCAGAAAATCATTTAAGGTGATACTACTTCTCTATTATCAGACACAAAATGTCTATGAAGAAAAAAATAGATACGAAGGACACTGGTAGGCTCCTAACTTCCCTACTGTTGCCCAGGGCTCCCTATTCACTTTCAAATTTAAGAGCTCAGAAACAGTTTTTCCAGATTTCTTCACAGAGTATTTCTACTTGCAGGTTAACAAAGCTCAAGTCTCTTCAGAAGTAATTCAGCGTATGCCTCAACATTGAGAGAATACTAGAAATACAGCTTCCTGAGCCTATGGGAAATTTCACAACCTTCATTTAACAAATAATTTTTAGACCTAAGAGCTATCGTAGTTTAGTTCTTCTCTATGTCCCATTCTATGATACATAATCTTGATTTCCCCAATATCTGAAGATATGTTTATTAGTGAGAGATGAACCAGATGATGTTTGATAACTGGCTATAATCATACACTGGGGCAGAATCATACAGTGATTCACTCATTGAATCTACTACTTAAGCAAATGTATGGTTAATGCTTATATGATAATTTTTTTGAAAAACCAGAAGCTACATCAACATATGTTAATTCCCTTTTAGCCCTAGATTTCTTGAAGCTGTTATACAGTGGAGAAAATTGTTTGCTTTTCAAATTTAGGCTACCTAAATGTATCTTAGCAAAAAGAACATGTATACCTCAACTCTAAGCTGTTTATCTATATTGTATATTGAGTTATTGAAACATTCCTCAAAGTAAAAATAAAAATAAATTTATAACAAAATTGGACGTAAAATAACATGAGGGATCCTAAGAAAAATAAATCTGTGGATCTAGAGATGAAAACAACCTCAAGCCATGAGCAGCTTGTGTTTATAGAAAAAAAGTCATACCACAAAGCATGACTCCTTTTCCGTTTGGTAAATTTAAATATAGTGGGTAAAGTGGAAGTTATAAATAAAGTCAACTTTGTATTTCAGTAAAAAGGCCTCATTAACAAATCTTTACTTGAAAAATTAATTCAAACTGGCTGGGATATGCAACATTGTATGTCCTATATTAGGTAGATTAGTGGTAATAACAGGAAGTAAGAATGACAGCATTTCCACAAGATGCATTTTTTTTTTAGTTATGGCCACTGACAGATGAATTGTAGGTCAGAATTTACTGAACGTCATCATGAAAAAATCTGAGTGCGATAAGAAAAGACACAGCCTTGCATTCATTGATGCATATCTAGTAATACAGTATATCACAACCAGAAATATTTCCACGTTTAACTCTTTTCTTCCTGACGTGCAAAGGGGCCCATACAATACTCTGAGGTTCCTGAAGTTAATCTTCCATATCCTGTGTCCTCCCTTCTTCAGCTCACCCTTCCAGGTATTTATTATCTTCAGCCCCACCTACCCTTCCTAAGGATTCCTCTTCACAACAGCTAAATGTTCGGTGAAAGTTACTGACAGAAGTTGAAACCTACATGGCTTTTATTATGGCCAAAAAAACAGGTAAATTACAGTTCCCAAAGCTCATTGCATGAGAAGTTAATAAGTATGCTGAAAGCAAAATGTGCCCCAAAGAAATTAAGATTAAAAAATCTCCTATTAAGCAAATTTTAACATGTTTCTTTACTAAAGAAAGCATAATAGCCTTTTATATGCTAAAGTGAATTCTGATCTCAAAGAGATGTACCTAGCTGACAACATTAACAGATTCACTTCACCATAGACTTCTCTGTTTTTCAGTTAAGCTCCTTTTATCACATTCTGGAACTATTGTTCCCATGGAACCAACAGAACCCAGTTTTGTGACTGCTTTTAAGGAGAGGGGAAGGTGTTATGTGGGATTTTGATAACAGCCTTTTGGTAAAAAAAGGGTATTTTCCCAAGGAGGGCAGATACAGATGCCCTACAATCATATCAACACACTGACCATTCCAAGGGCTCTGTATGTAGTATCCGTTCAACAGACAGAGTCGTGAGTGATGGCAAACCAGGCATGGCAGGAAAGTAGGGCCAGGACAGGCGAGGTGGGCACGGCATTCTGGGAGCAAAATTTAAGGAGGTATGCACTTGCACACCCCCGAAAGTGAGTTTCTCTTTAAATTTTGTGCGGAGGCACCTTACTCTCCTCACCCCAGTTTGGGCCCTTCAGAAAAGATGGACTGTCTCACTTCACTCTTGTAGAAGAATTTTTGTCTACCAAACCTCAGAACTCTATTCTATTACTCTATTACCATATTCTGTAGTCAACTTTTAAAAATTAATTACAGATACAGTCAATGCTCTTTGAAATATTTTTAAGAGCTAGAGAGGTATGTAAAATAAAAAGTGAGGTTCTCTCAACTCCATAATCCTACTTGGTACACACCCAAGAGAACTGGAAACCTAGGTTCACACACAAATTTGTACATGAGCATTCATTATAGCATGATGCTTATTAGCCAAAAAGCAGAAACAAACCAACCAATGAATGAATAAACAAAATGTGGGCTAGCCATATAGGGGAATAGTATCCACCCCTAAAAAGGAATGAAGTTCTGATACATGCTACACAGATGAATCTTGGAAACACAAGCTAAGTGAAAGAAGGCAGACACAAACAGCCACATACTGTGTGGCTCTGCTTATAGGAAATGTTCACAGTAGAAAAATTCATAGAGGCGGAAAGTAGAGTAGAGGTGGGTTGCATAGGTGGGAGGAGATTGGGAGTGACTCCTTAGACCTACGCAATTTCTTGTTGAGGTGATGGAAATGTTCTATGATTAGACAACAGAGATGCTTATAGAATATTGTCAATATACTAAAACCTACTAAATTGCATGCTACAAATGCATTAGTGTGTGATAGTGAAATATATCTCAAACTTTTTAAAGCTAAGATAAATGAGGGTCTGATCATCTTCCCTTATATAGCTAGAATTTATAAAGTACCTATTTTGCACAAGGCACATCTGTAAATGTTTTACTTCATTAACTCATTTAATCCTCAAAACCACTCAATGAGACATCTTTTAAAGATAAGAAAGTCAAGGCAACAAGCCAGCTAAATAATTTGCCCAAAGTCCTGCAGCTAGTAAGGGACAGAGCTGGACTTCTAAAACCAGGCAGTCTAGCTTCAAAGTATACATTGCACACTAATTATCAGGAGCAATGACCATTAAGAGTTGGGGTATATACTTCCAGGCACACACATGCACATGCCTTTGTGTAGCTAGATAAAAATTATTTGCATGGGATTATATGTATGAGAGATTAGCAAACTGTAGCCCGTAGACCAAATCAGGCCCACTGTCCGTGGGTTAAGAATGAAAGACTGGATTCTATATTTTTAATTGTTGGAGAAAAAAAGAGATGAAAAAAGAAGAATCACATTTCATGGCACGAGGAAGCCTGTGGGGGTTAGTCCCATCACATCCTCTCCTCCTAGAGAGGGAGAACCAAGTCCTCTGAGAGTTTAGCAAAGCAGCTTGAACCCAGAGATGAAAATAGGAAGCTGAAATGGGTGAAGCTAGGCAGTGGCCAACACTGGAAAGCTCAGCGGAGAACCAGTTACCCAGGATAAGAAAGCTCCACTTCTGTTGGGGTGAACACAACTTGATGCTGAGAACTGATCCCTTTCGGGATGCTTCTCTGCTGTGACCAGCATTCAAATTAATGATCCTGTACATGAAGAATAAAACTAAGAAAAACTACGAAAAGAGTGAGTTTTCTCATCACAAGAATAAAGAAAGAAGAAAAAATTTAAAAAGAAAGAAAAAAAGAGTGAGTTTCCTTAAACTTCTAGAAAGAAAGTCCTACTCTATCACAAAGTGTTCCAGGCAAAGAACCTGGGGTTGGAGGTGGATGGAGGTGGCTGACTCTGGAATGTAGATTCTGGGGATATAATCACTGAGACTTGATTTGTCTTTTTAAAACTCTGATGCTTGTGATTTTGTGAACTCAGAACTACTACTACTATTAATATGATCAATCTGGTCCAAAAACCAAGCTCAAACATTTAACACCATGACCCTCAGAGTTAGAGAATTCCAGAGAGGAGCTGAATGCTCTGTGAAGAAATATTTCCCTCACCAAATTTGTCTAAATCTGTTGAGTATAAACTTTTGAGAGTGGGAGGAAAATAACAAAAGGCAAAGGAAGGGAAGGGAAGGGGAGAGAAATGCATTCCTTTAAAATAAGTTTCCTAATTCTTTTCAAAGACCATGATTATATTCCATGAACTATTTTCCACCAAGCAGTTCGTTTCATAAATCATAAAGAAGACCTGACAAAAAGGGGAGAAGGAAAAATTACTGAAACATCCTATTTCTGACTCTGTTAGGCGTTACCCATTACACATAGAGAGCACACAGACACCGGAGATTTAAAGAATGTGCTTAAATCGTTGTAAACATAAGGTACCAGAGCCTCCAGTTCAAAGAAACAGATTACTCGCTGAAGAAATGGGAGAAAAGTTCTGAGACCTCTCTCAGGTCGTCACACCAGTTTCTGTCGGAATGCAGGAATTATGGCAAAGTAGTTAGTTTTATAAACATATGGGCAGAGCTCAACTTTACCTGTCAGAGAAAAAAAAATTCCAACTATTTAAAACCTCCTCCATTTGTATACATTCCTTTCATTACTTTTTCTTCTCTTTATGGAAAGGAGGAAAGCCTCCGGCTCGGCTCACCTGTATCAAACCCCACACTTGGCACCAAGTCCACGGTTCCGTGAAAGGCTCCGGCCCACGCTGAGGTAGCAGTGGTGGCTGTAGTCGGATCGGTCTTTGTGACGTCACTCGGGGGAGCAGGAATCCTGGCTGCGCGCACTGACGGCATCAGCAGGGGCCCGTAGGCCGGATCCAGGGCAGAGCCGGCAGAAGGGTGGTGGTGGTGGTGGTGGTGGTGGTGGTGGCGGTGGTGCATGTGCGCGTGCGGGTGGTGGTGCCGCAGGTACACGTCATGCACGTGGCTGTAGGATGGGCTCACCTGAGATGCCAGAGGGTAGTGCCAGGACTCGGACACGGGCGGGGGAGGGGCTGGGCCAGTCTGATGCAGGCCGTGTCCTGCCCAGGGGCTGGGGTCGGCGGCGGGAAAGGTGCCGGGGGGCGCGGTGACCTGGAAGTCGGGATGAACTCCCCCCAGACAAGGTGCAGGAGGGGGCTGGTAAGAGCTGGTCCAAAAGGAAGTCGGGAAACTACTCCGCTGGCTGGAGAGAGCTGAGCTGTCTGAGAAGACAGAAAAATAAATTATTTACGTAAGACTCAGTTCGGGGATAGACTTGCCTTTACTTGTCCAATATTTCACAAGCAGGCTAATTAGTCTGCACTCTTTCTCCCCACACAGAGGTAAATCGATACCCGTAAATCTCTGCGCTTCAGAGCCAAGGCAAGGCGCAAGGGTCCAGGTGCTGAAGGAGTCCCCCACTTTGTTTGCTTAGCTTATGCCGTCCCGTCTAGGCTGAGGTTTGCAGGGCTGGGACTGGAAAGCTTCGTTTCCTCCTTTGTGTCTTGCTGCCTTGAGGTCTGAGCAGAGGTCATGGGTACATCCATCGCAGGTAAAAAAAAGCGTATGCCGTAGATGTTTCAGGTAGGTTGGGCATGATTTTTACCAACTTCTTTTAAAGGCAAAGACAATTTTCATTGAAACTAAACATTTTCATGCCAAAAGTAACAAGGAGAAGTAATATGCTTAAGGAGGCTCGCCAACTCTCATTTTCCGTCAAGAAGAGTGTATTCCAAGCTTATATTTTTGGTAGAAGTCTGGGAGTTTCTGGGCTGAAAATAATAATAGTTCACATTTAATGACCAACAGTAGGTCAGGGGCCTTTCGAGGATGATCTTATTGGATCCTTACTCAGGTCTTATGAGGTAGGAGTTACTGTTATTATCCCCATTTTAGAGATGTGGAAATTGAGGCAGGGAAGAAACCCAAGACTTCACAGCGGGCAGGCAGGAGACTGGGCTTTGAAGACCAGGAGTCTGCCTGGAAGGCTGACACTCTTCCTAACTTTGCCACAAGACAGAACACCTGTAACTAAAATCTGAACATCCAGAATTTGGTGGAGACTGTGGAAGTTATAAGTGGAGGAGATTCAAGTAAGGGTCATGGGTCTGAGGACATGTTGATGGAAGGGGAAATCACATCAAAGAATAGCACTTGGAGCTAAATAAGCAAGAGAATGAACCAATCCCCAGTTTTGCCTCATTTCAATTTCTTCACTCAGTCGTTATATTTATGGATGACCTACTATGTATGAAACACAGGGCGGCCAGGGATGACTGGAGAGATGCCACCTTTAATCACAACCTGGTGGGGGACAGATCAGTAAACAGACCAGAGCAGTGTGACTTGGTTGGTACTCTCGCAAGGGGAAACAGAGAGGGCACCGAAGCTGCCTAAGAAAGTACTAGCCAAATTGAAAGGGTGAGCAGGGCTAGCCTTGTGAAGAGGTGGACAAGAGTGTTTTTAGGCTAATGAAAAAGTATGTTAAAAAGGCCAAAAATTACATACACCCACAAAGTAGCATTTGAGGGACAAGAAAAGAGTTCATTGCGCAGGTGGTGGCAAATGGTTAGACTCTGGTCCAGAAGGACCCAGATGGGTATAGCCTTGCCAGTGTGCTCTGAATGTGGGCGCTGTCCTGAGGAGGTCCAGTGAGCTTAGAAAGGTTTAGCAGGGTTTAAATCCAGGGGGAGATGGAGAGTCAGATCTGTGTTGAGAAAGATGGATACCTCCAGGGGTAGCCTGTTGCCTGCAGTGCAGAGTAACTGGGAAGCACTGGCCTGGGGGTCTGGAATCTTAGCCAGAGAGTGAGTGCCAGCAATTACGCTATCCCGTTGTAGGACCCCTACTTGACCTGCTGACCTCTCCAGGGCTCAGTATCTTCCAATCAAATATGAGGCATTTGAGCTCATTTAATTCCAAATATCTGGTGGCCCTATACTTCTAACCATTCTGTGCAGCGCCCTCTGATTTATTTCAATCTATAGATAAAGATAAGGTGGCTTAGCACATTAGTCACGCATGTGCAGTAAAATAGTATTTTTATACTGGGTTCCCCATAAAAGAACCTTGCTAGATCTTTCCATGGAAGGAAGGCTATCCTAAATCCCGTGAAAGAAAAGCATGCAAAAGTCTGACCTGTCCACGTTCTCACTTCATAAACTTGGAGGACACAGTTTTCTTGCCTCAGGGAAAGCATAGATAACTTGACTCAGCCCCCACATATGTAACGTGACTAATATAATTAGGAAGTCACCATGGTGTTCAGTTATTTCCTTTCTCCAGCTTCCCTGCAGGCTGCGGCATTAGCACTGCAAGCTCTTCCACACTCTCCCCATCTGCCCTCCCCCAGAGCTGTCATTCACCCTACTCAGCCTATGCTCAGACAGCTATTCAGTGTCTCATGGTCAAGTCTCTCCCTGCCACCGAAACTCCATGGATGTCAAAACACTTGGGGAAATCTAGGTGATGATGTTCTTCAAGAGGTGAAGGATGGAACAACACCCTATTCTTCAAACCTTCCAACAGTTCTGGCAAACTTTGAATGACTTGGTTTTGTTGACAATCACAATCTATTAAAACAGCACTTAAGTCAAGCTTACTGGCATTGAGGCAAATATGTTTTATTTAAGAACTATCTTCCTTTGACATGTGATACACAGCTGCTAATGACAAGAAGGAAAACTGTGTAGGCTGTAGGAAGAAAATGTAATTTTCCATAAATAATGGCCACATGTACAATATTTCTATCATACCCACAGTGAAAACTATCAATATTGAAAGTTTAAAACTCATTGCAAAGAGTATATAGAGAGAGGCTCCTTATATCACATAGTGGAGTTTTGCCACAACCAATCTGCCACTTTCCTCTCACAGATCTTCATCTTTGGTAACAAACTCTTCATTCTACCCTAACTTTTATCTCTGATGGGGCCAGAATCCCATTGTGAAAACAGCTGAACCCAAGCCACAGGTGTGTGCCAGAGATAGAGTTCTCCTTTTTAATGTCCCCCATTAAAATGTCAAGAGTACAGAAAATATATGTCAGTTCCCTGAGCACTTTCCTTTTGTCTCTCTTCATTTGTATGTACATGGACCCAATTTTATTTTACAGATGCTTATGCGTGTTGGATATGCATGCACAAATGTGAATAATGATTCCTTACCAAAAATATTATCCTACTAATGATGTACTGTGATTAGTGAACATATTATCATTGAGAGTAGAAATCTATGTTTAAAAATGCACCCCATAGAGGCTGAACAAAGCTTTAAAATGCTCCAGGGGAAAAAAAAATTAGAAGCAACTTAATATTTTCCCAGTTGACGTGCCTTCTGAGATTAATATAAAATTTGCAGAGATCTATGCAGCCCTTTTCAAAAATAATGTTGCATTCTACATGTTCAAAGAAAAGATATTGAGTAGAAAATATGTTTATGGATAAGTCTACACTTTAAAACCACTATTTGGTATCTTGATTGTTAAAAGAGGAAATTCTTGATACAAAGAAACAGATGATACTCTTTATTTCATGCCTGGGAATCAGTATGCTTATTTCATATGTATGTAAATTTTTTTCATTACATGACTCTTTGCTTACAAGTGTTTAATCACAGCCACATTTTTTGGATGAAAAAGCTTATGAAAAACTGCACACGCTATTTCCATGCAATATTACTTTTCGGCAATTCAGAACTATGTGATATTAACACTCCATGGTGACTTTGGGCTCATGGTACTGGATATTAGGATGATATTTACACTGAGCCTAACGTATACAAAAAGTCTATACTTTAGCTCAGTTTGCATTTGGGATTAAAAAGTATTGCACATACATACCCTATTTCTCAACAAAAAAAAAAAAGAAAGAAAAAAATCAATTGTCCAATAAAACCCATCCAGAGCCTATCCAGTAATCTCACTGTGTGATTTATAGCAGAAATATGTCTTAGAAAACATAAGAGTTTAACATGGAACATCAAGTAGTTATTTCAACTTCATAGTAGCTGGGATACTTTTTATATTAACCCTCAATGCCTATGAATAAAAAATCTAAGGGCAAGTAATCTATGAAAGAGAAAATTCAACATATAGTTAAAAAATTACATATTTTATTGCCTTATTTTGAAAAAGATGAAAACTATATTAAAAGGAAAAATGGGCCAATAAAATGTTGTAGAACCTCCGTCTTATCTTAAAAATCTCCAGAAAACATATTCTTAGAATAAATATTGATTTAAAACATCAAAAATTAAAGATAATATTTACCTTTTTATTAACCTCAGTGAAAAAAAATGCTACTCCATTCTCAACCTAGGGGGCCTTCTCTATAATTTTAATTCCCTTCCTCTTGTTCATAAAATAAACCACTGGGTCAGAGGTGAAATGCAATGTGTTCCAGTGCTTTCTGTCTCTTAGGAATTAAGCATCACCATTATGTTCAAAGATTGCCCTCCAGTTATTTTGTTCTAGAGTTGCTCAAAATGGACCTTGTGACTCTGAAAGAGTTTCAAGGAGGTGATGTCAGATGCCCATACTCTTTGGAGGCAGGACGATGAGATAAACCAGGCCTCACTTCCCCCCTACATGTTTGTTCTAAACTTCCCAGCAGCGATGGCTTCCAGTGCCTCCTAGAGATGGAGCCCAGCTCCCTCCTTCCCAGTCTCAGCCAGCCCAGGAGACAGGCCCTCCTTGCCCTTCCTCCTCTTTGCTGTCTAAGTTCTGCTCACTTTGAGAAGACTTTCTTATGAGAATGAGTCGCTGCAAGCAGACACTCTGTAGATCAATCAAGCAGAAAATATTTACTTTGCTACTATAGCAAGGAAAAAGATATCAAGTTTACCATTTAGCATAGTTTTTAAAGTCAGTGACGTATCTTGACTTAACTACTCTCTTTTCCTACACACACACACACACACACACATACACACACACACACTTTTTGTAATAGTATTTGGGCCCTGAGATCAATGAATAGACATATTTGAAGTCAATGCTTGTATTTGGATGGGTTAAGGAGACAATTAGATTCATTAGGTTTTCTTAACTGAGAAGCTCTATTCAATCCCTGTTAGAAGATACAGTGGGAGAAGAGATAGCTGGTGTGATGCTGTCAAATAAAGTACAAATATTTCCTGTCAATTGTTTGCCTAACAGCTGCAAAACACCTAAAGAGGACTTTCCTAACTCCATCAAGACACAAACTCAAAGTATGACCAATATTCCATCAGCTGACACTCTTATTATTTGCCTAAAGATTTACAGTGGAATTATATTCTGCAGTCAAACATAATTCAGTTTTAAATGCCTTTGAAATACTGTAGCACTTGTGCAGCATTGTAAAAACCTCATATCATAAATTAGACACTTTAATTTAATACAGCTGGTCAGCAGCTCCTCATAAAAGATTATTGCCATGGCCATCAACATTGTCAATAACCTTGAGTACCTATTATGTCCAAGACACTGTGTTTTTGCCAGGAATAGAAACTTCCAGAAAACAGTGTTTCTGAATAAAGACCCAAGGTTGGTTTTCTAGGTGCCAGGTGAGTGGAAACTTACTTAAGGAAGAGAGAAAAGGCATCTGACCTTCAGTTAGCACCTTGCATCAAGCCCTATGTCAAATTATTCATATATATTATCAAAAAAATATTATAATAACCCTAGGAGATGGGTATCAATAAACACGTATTATAGCTGAAGTTAAACTCAGAGAGATTTGTAAGTAATTAATCCAAGATCACACTGCAACCAGGCAGTGATAAGGTCCAAACTGGAACCCAAAACAAACACAATCCAAAGCCTGCATTATCCAAACCTGTGTTGCTTTGGCAATTGACAGTAACTCTCTCCACTAGACATGAGCATCTCAATTTACCATAGCCCTCTTTAAGATATTATTTTCTAAATCTTTAACTGCATTCTGTGGCTCTCCTATGAATCCTATCCAAGTTACATCTGTTTATCTAAAAACACTAATTCATAACTGGAAATAACTATGGCAAAGTTCTGTTCACAAAGGGAAAGTAAATAATATATTTGCAATCACAAAACTTCACAGAGACAACATTTCAACAATCACTTAATTCAACCCTCCTATTTCATAAATAAGAAAATTGTCTCCAATGATTTCATATAATTTATTACTAATAAATTCTCCATTAAGGACTTTTTTGGTTTTCTAATCCTGGGTGTGTGATATGAACTTGGTTCATCTACTTTAATTATGTAACCATTTGATTCATTTTTATCCCATATTTTTCATATAGAAACGCACTATTCTGAGTATTGGGGAAATTGATGTGCAATAACTAGATACGCTATATCTAGTCTCAGTGGAAGAGGGAGAAATGGAAATTGAAGAGCTTGCTGTCTTTGCCTGGGCTACTCAGATAAACTAAACTGACATACAAAGTTCTGAAAATTCTGATCTCTACCTATGCCTCTTCTTTTCTCTCCACTCACACCAGTATTTTTTGTTTCTCTTTGAACAGTTAAGTTCAGTCCTTCCTCAGGGCCTTTGCACTGGCTTTCCCCCTTGCCTTGAATAATTTCTTCCTAGAAATTTGTGTGATGAGAAGCTCTCTTATTTCCTTCTGGTCTGTGCTCAAATATAATAGTCTTAGAGAGACCATCTATCATCACCCTAAGTAAAACAATACCTTGTATTTCATTATATATGTATAATATATAATTAAATGTATTTTTACATATAGGAATGCATATATAGTGGAAGCCTGTCTCTTCCACTAGAAAGCTCCACGAGTGTATAAGCTTAGATGCTCCTGTTCACTGATATAGTCCCACTACCCAGAACACAGAAGGACCTTAATAAACACTTGCTTTGTAAGTCAATGAAAGGAACAGGAGATAGACTTGAAGGCCAAATTTAAGATAATACCAAGAAAATTCTAGTAATAGTTGCTAAAACATTTCCATGATTCATCCTTCCTGAACTGAAATTTGACATCTTTCCAAAGGTCTTCTCTATTCAGTCATGCAGATTCGGGGAAAAACACTGAACTGTAGCATTTTTGCATTTACACTCCACCTCACTTAACACTATTCTGGTTATGGCGCCTTCGACAATCACTCTCACGTCTAGCTGTAATTTGGGGCTTTTGTTCCTATATTCCAAGTTAAATGGTGACTAGGTTACTTACGCCAGAATGCTAAAAGGCATTACATTTATTACTCTCCTGGAACTGATTATCCTGATTGTCAATTTCTTATTGACATATCAAACTGTTTATTAAAGCCAGAGAATTCATTGAAGTTTTTCTATTTTCACCCTCCCCAGGTTATAAAAGTATTCACCATGTGCTATCAAATAGGACATTCGTTGGTCCCATTAGCATCTTAGGCTTCTAAGAACTAAGTTCTCAGTCCTTGTGAGAAGTTCATAATTACTCTTCAAATAAGCAGTTATGCCTCCCAATTCACCCCTATCGAGGGCTGGGTCACTTGAGTATGGATTTCACCTTCCTCTTTACGGTTGCTCTCTATGTTAATGTTCATATTTACTAGAGGGAAGGAGGAAAGAAGAGAGGGGACGTGAAGGGAGAGAAGGGGGGGGAAGGAAGGGAAGGAAAGAAAGGCAGGCAAGAAGGTACTATTCTTCTGATACTGACAGGGGACCAACCACTCATCACCTCTCACCTGCCCCCTATCACAGGTGACCTACCACAGGTGGCCAGCCTTTCTTCATCATAGGATCACCTGGGACACTTGTTACAGTGTGATTCCCAGACCGTCCCTCTGTAGCCTCTGAGTCAACAGGTCCGGAGTCGGGGGGGAGGGGCCGGGCGGCGGGTAGTCTGTCACCTGAACAGCGCTAAATCAATGGTTATCATACTTGAGCTTGCATCTGAATCTCTGGGAGGGCTGGTGAAAACACAGATAACTCTACCCTGGAGTTCCTGACTCTGTAGGTCTGGGGATTTTCCATTTCTAATCAGCTCTCACGTGATGCCCACGTTCCTAGTCTGGGAAACCACATGTTGAGAACTATTTTACTTGATGCCTCTTACAGCCAGGCCAGTTCAGAAGAAACATTGGTAACACATTTCTCTAAAACTACCAATGGAATGATGTATTATTTTTTTCTCTAATGTAATCATCCCACTTAAGTTGTCACCCAGCCATTTTCTGCGAGTCAGAAATCAGATTCAAACACACCTCTCTGGACTCTTTATAGAAGGCAAAAAGGAGAGGATGCTCAATCTACCACTTTCTTTTACTGAGGAGGAAAAAATAATTAGCCTAAACCAGGCAGATACAGTCAATAATCTCTCGGTTATACACTCCGAAGAGTTAACACCACAACAAAGCAACACAGAAAACTATTAAGAGAACACAGAGGATGTATTCCGGGGTCAGACTCAGATCTCTGCTATGTCACCACGTAGCACCTAGTGGAATGAGCAAGAGCAAATTTTTAAAAGCTGATCCAGGCACGCCTATTATTTAGAGATCCAAATTGGGCCATCGGGGCTTAAGGAATGATGCTTCACGGCTCAATCCTGCCACTATAAACCCAGGCCGGTTGCATCACTACTTTCCATGAGGAATTTAAGGGGTGTGACTGCATCCTTTCCAACCCTGCATTCCACATGTGACAAAACTGATCCAGCTGTTTGTCTGAAAGAAATTCCTCGCTGTCCTTAAAAATTAAAAAGCAAGTGGATATCCGTCCTCCAGGGGCAAGTCTCCAGCTGGAACCTGGTACAGGCGGTTGCGAAACAGAGACAGTGCCCTGGAGAGCATCTGCTTTTCGAATTCTTACCTCGCCATAAGGGGGTTAGCCCCATCTTGCTTTTTGAAATGGCAGATTCTGGATGGAGGGTGCTGGCTTGGCCCAAAGCTCTTGAGAAGTGTTCATCCACTACTGACCCAATGTCTCCCTGGAAATAAGTGAAAAGGACACAGCGAGAGTTAAGGTACTCCATCTCGGCAGGCTGGTCTTTCTCCTCCTCCTCCTCCTCCTCATCCTCCTCCTCCTCCTCCTCCTCTTGTTTGCTGGGAAGGGTGACTTCCAGAGAGTCCTGCATCTTGCTGTATACCGCTAACTTCTTCTGGGATGGAATAAACAAAACACAGTATCAAAGACAGTTTGTAACAAAGCATTAACTAGTTAACTTTTTACTTTAAAAAGTTATCTAAATATTAACATATGTTCGCAAACTGATTCTTCATTTGCTTTACTCCACCCCTCCACCCCCAAAACCAGCTTTCTCCTTCCCACCCTGAGGGAAAAAAAAAGTCTGTTATTTCAAATTTGGCGGAAAAAAAAAGTCCATTATCCAATGGTACCTCTTCAGAGTGTGAAAGACAGGTTGTTTTTCTTTCTCTTAATCTAGATATACCAAAAGGGGAATGGCTTGTAAAATAAGAAAGTGACAGATTTCTTCCACGTTTGTCCCCATTTTCTATTTTAAAGATTTCACATACAGCAACATTAAAGTTGGGGACAGGGAGGGCTGGAGATGGATGGCCCAACAGCTGGGGGAGGGGTGGGGAAGAAAAGAGCTTTTCATAAATGAAATGTACTAAAATAAAAACAGGAATGTAGCATCTTATAAAAGGATTTGGCAGATGTGCTGAACTCATTTCTCAAAAATCACACTAAAATGACAAAATAAGTCTGTGTGAAGATCCATTTTGCATGGCACACATTTTTCAGATGTTCCACTTGCCACCATTATCATAAAAGGGAAAAAAAAAGCTATTATTATGGCTTATGGACAATAATACAAAATACGAGCAATGGGCAGTATGGCTTTCAAATAAAAAAGAAAACGTTTTGATAGCTGCAAAATATTTTCAAAACAGACGATCATAACTATAATCATTTACATTATGGCTAGTAAAGTTGTTACATTTATTACCCAATTTAATCTTTACAATTCTGTAATGTGGTTATTATTACTCTCCATATTCTAAAGACGAAGAAACTAAAGCACAGAGAAGTGAAGGAACTTGCCAAAGGTCACAGAGTATATAAGACCCAGAGGGCATGATAAAAATACGCAGATGGACATATGAATGTGCACGTATGTGTCAGAGGAGGGCAGGAGAAGGACATCTCGTGTGGGGAAAAAACAATCACCAAAACATTACGTTTTGTATTCTTTTTCTAGGTGGTGAGCTTGTCAGTTAATTGTCATTTTCTTATTCCTGCTTTTCACTATTTCCAAAAAATTTTTTTCCTTGAGCACAAATCATTTTCACAATCAACAATTTCAGTATAAATTACATATAAGAAATAATGCTAAAAATGATAAAACTCATGATCTCAATGACAAAATGAGCATCCTAGCATCTGTATACCTACAAAACCTGACCGTTTGTCGTATCATTTTTCTTATTTCAGAAAGAAATGCGTGCTGGGAAATGAATGTGAGTAGAGAAAAGGAAATCGTTTCAGAATATTCAGTGAGCCCATAGTTTGGAAAATGTTATCAAAACACATAACCCAGACTCTTAATGTTTCTAGTGGTAATTACTAGCTTCAAAATCTATAGCCCCAAATTATAAATACATCATTGAATAAACTGTACCCTTTCTCCCAGCAATAAGTATGTTGTTCTTGTGTGAGGTGAGATCCGAAATGTTCAGGCGTATTACGAGCTGTTGGTTATGATTTTTATATATATTGCTTTTTATTTAAAATTTGTGTCAATATGGTTATCGCTTCTTGATGAATAGATAATTCATTCCCTGTAAGTGAATTTGCCTTGTTGATGAATAAGTGATTGTAATGACTGAGCAGTTATAAAATTCTTACAATCTGTTTTTCACAGATTTGACCATGTTTATATTTAACTTCAATAGTAGAAACACCATAGTAACATAGGTTATGTATAAAATGAGAGGGTGGAACTAACTGACCTTGAAAGTTACTCCTGCCTGGCTTTAAATTCCATTATAAAATTAAATGAATATCATGACTTACTAGTCAAATTACAGCATGGTTTCTCCGTGCACATGTGCACCTATGAAAGTTACACCATTTTAAGCATTTACACACACTCTGTCAAACATGCTGGTGTATGAGAAAGAAGCACTGGTTTTATACAGGAATAAAATTAAAACTGATCTACTGAGTAGCTTGACTGCCACAAGTGTTCAGTAATATCTATGAAACTGGTATCTTCTTCCTGTTAATGACGAACACAGCATCTCTCTGTGAAAGTCGGGCTTTGCACTTACTTGGTTTCATTTGTTTAATTCTAATATTTATGCCTTAAATGAAAGTGCCCAGGCTATGTTAATTATCCACAGAAAGGCAATGTTTTTATTTTATCCCAATTAGCAATTAATTCTTAGAGAAAATGAAATTAATTAAAGTTATATATATGTGAATGATTTGAAAACTGCAAACCAAATACAAAGAGAGCCTACACTTGTAGGCAAATGTAGCACAGTATTATGATCAATAATGGTAGTAATAAAATTATCTTAATTTTTACATTGATGATAGCTGAATTTAAGCTAAAGATTCTCTATCTATTTAAAAGATTTCACAATTTTCTAAATGCTATGTAGTTTCATGTTTTTCTTTTTTTGACCAGTTGTTGAATGGTTGGATACAAATAAATTAATCTAAAAGTTACACATTTTTCACTGTGAAATGGGGAAAAATAAGCAAAACCTTCCTTATACCGAAATACCTTTTAGTAGTGTATTTTCTAAATGTCAATTCTGTCAATGGATGTATTGATTTTCTCTAATGTTAATACTTAATATATGTAATACATATATAGACACATATGCATTTTGATAAGCATATATTGAAATATTTTTTGATATGCAAATACCTGTGCTATAATAAAAATATCTGTCTTAGCTTCTCTATTTAAATACATTTTTGAGGGCGATCATAAAATATACTTATTTCTCTCTCTCTTAGCTCTTTAAGGAAGTTCTTCTACTAATTAAATAAATTTGCTTGGAGACGACCAAACAAATAAAGAAGGAGCTTGTGATGTATCTACCAATGGGCAGGACATAAGGCATATTTATCATTCTCTCTTGCACTTTTTTCAAATAAAATTGCATCAATTTTCACAAATTTTAGTGGACCACTTTAAATATTCACATTTACAACACACAGGTGCATTTATGGCCTCACCATCAATCAATATCACCGGTTACAATAAGAACTCTAAAGTATCCAAATGGCCTGATAGCCAACACTGAATTTACACACATATTTTTAGACATCAAGTGTGAGCAAGGAGAAAATGGGAACACAGAATTTAAACAGTAGTCGATTGATTTGCTGACATTCACACCATCCTAATATTCTTCCCCACAGACCTTAAGCCTCAATTACTTTCTTTTATTTGTGCTTTGGTGATTGTAAATCAATTCTTTGTCTTTTCTTTTTTTTAAACTAAGTATATTCAATATATACACTGTGGCCATACTCTGTGTTCACTTGGTGTTTGTTCCTTGGAATGAAATTTCCCTAGTGTAGTGTTACCTTCGTTTTTGAAAATAATATATAAAATTCAAAATGTTGAAAATAAACCTCAAATCATCAGAACCTAGATTTCCTGAATCAGGGCTGAAAAGCAATCTAGTTCATATTTTTCTCAAAATGCACCATCACTCCCTAAAAATAGCCAAATCTGTCAGAAGTATTCACGCTTTTCTTACTAGACACTTAAGAATTGTTAACAAAAATAAAGGAGTCATCAGAAGGGATTTCAAAAGCTCCAAGTTGGTTTATTTAATGCACCTTAACTGTTCATCCCCTATCGCAGAGTAATGACAGGTTTTCTCCAGGTAAAAGGAAACGAGGAACAAGTTAACAGCCAACAAGTTGAAACTAACTTGCAAAGCTATGAAAGCAGCAGTGTCAAGGAGTCAGCCAAGGCAGTGCGAACCAGACCCGACCACCTCCAAGCCTGCCATCAGCACAACAGAAACAAACTCGCACAGGAATGTGCAGGGGAAAGGATTTGTCTGACAAGAGAAGACTCCGCGTCAGGAGCCAAATACCGCTAACTCCCCAAGGCTTAAGCTTACAAAATGCCAAATGATTACTGTGCATATGTGGAAACTGTTTTCCTAAGGAAACAAAAGAATTTTAGTGAATCATTGGATATTTGGAAATTTTTTTTTCATTTCTACTGGCTCTGTTCTCTAAATGCAACGATTCTTTCATGCTGAAAGACACGCTTTAAGTCTACAAGAAAAAACTACTAGCCCAGAATAAAGGTTTCCGAACTGTGAAGTCCATAAAGCAGCACATTGCTCTCCGAGCATGTTTCTGAACTTATTTGAATAACAGATTTTAAATATATCTCAGGGAGACTTGAGGTTTTGGTCCTTAGCCTGTTGGAAGGAGGAGGAATCAGGTGGACGGAGGGCAGGTCAGGATAAGGGAGACAGGCCACCGACCTTTTATATATTTTATTTCACTGACTCTCATACACAGATATTTTGTCCAAAAAATATTCTCACTTTATATATGCAAAAACTGATTTACTTGGCCAGGATCATCTAACTAGTAAATGGCAGAGATGGGATTAGAACCCATTTCTGTCTGACTACAAAGCATCTGTCATGGAAACAGACTAAAGAAAATAAGCATATATAAAATACTTAGTTTAACTGAATAAACAAACAGAAGCCCACAGGCAGCCCGGCATCACATGCTAAGGAAAGTCTGAAGTTATTTATAACAAACATTTAAAAATTAGGGATGTAAACACAGAGATATGGCTATTAAATAATGTTGTGCTCTTCAAAATACATGTGTATTGAGATAAAACTGTCCTTCTATACCTAGAAATGTGTCATCCCCCTGACAAGTCAGACACATAATACAATTAATTGCCTACCGTTTTTCTGGAAACTCTATTTTGGAAATGTGAGCAGAGCCAGTTTGTGAGACACAGTCACACCCCGAGATTCTGTGTTTGATTGCTTTTTTTCTTTTTGGTTTTTATTTTTCTTAACAGTAGGAGGAGCAAACCAAAAAGAATATTAGCTATTTCTGAGTACACTTGCCTCTCGATGATTTTGGTCATTATCAAAAAACAAAACCATCCCCTGGAAGGAT